TTGTCATTTGCTGTTAATCAAGTCAGTCAGTTCCTGCATGCTCCAACTATTGATCACTTTCAAGCAGTTAAAAGAATTCTACGATATGTTAAGGGCACTCTAACTTACGGGCTGCACTTTACTCATCCATGATCATCTTTAATTCTTGGCTATTCAGACGCAGATTGGGCTAGGTGTATTGAGACACGTAGGTCCACCTATGGTTATTCAATATTTCTTGGTGGTACTCTTGTCTCCTGGAGTGCTAAGAAGCAACCTATTGTCTCCAGGTCTAGTTGTGAGTCAGAATATCGGGCCATGGCAAACACAGCTGTTGAAATAGTATGGATCACTCATTTACTACGTGAATTATTTGCTCTTCCTCCTGATCGACCTACATTGTTGTATGATAATAAAAGTGCTTTATTTCTTAATCGGAATCCAATTTCCCACAAAAGAGCTAAGCATATTGACATTGACTATCACTTCATTCGCGAGCTCATTACTTTTGGACAGCTATACATGCGTTTTGCAGTCGTTATTTAGCGAGATTCATAATTGCTGTTTGATAAAAAGATTTAAAAGATTATTTTGAAGAATAACTCTAAAATTTGTATGTGTTACCCAAAACGGTATTTAGTTTTTACTAACTAATAGATTATTTATTGAAACGCCCAATAAACGCAAAAGGCCAAATAAGCGTAAAAGACCCGTTTGGTAACCAGAGCCAAGAAGCCCATAAGCTTACCAAAGCCCAAAGGATAATAATGAGACAGGGTTTCATGACTAATCTGATCAGACAACACAAAAGCACCTAACTTCCACAAAACTAATTGTAGCACAAAATGCAAAAGAATTATCACAACTCATAGAAACCGATGTATTTTTGTTGAGAAAATAAAAAATGAATAAGTTTTAATTAAATATGTTTTCTAAATCTTTTTTTAATAAAACTGAAAATGAAAACTTATTTTATAAATTTCTGAAAACTAAAAACTGAAAACAAAAGTTATTTTTCCGTAACTAAACGCAACCTTATATTCTAGGAAAATGTAGGTTACGTTTAGTTACGGAAAAACATTTTTCGCTTTCCATTTTCAATTTTTAGAAAAATGAAATAAGAATTCATTTTCAGTTTTCATTATAAAATTTAGAAAATATAAATATGTTTAGGTAAAACCTTATTTTTATTTATTGTTTTAGAAAATTAAATAACATGTTTAAATATGTATTTTTATGAAAAATTACAATTTTTATATCATTTACATTAGTCTCCATCCCAATCAAATGCATTATACAAAAATAAAATTTTTTTTCTCCAACCCAAAAAGATGAAAGACTGTCTTCTTTGTAGGCAAAAGACATAAATATCCTTTTCATAATGAGCTGATTAAACGAGATTAACCCATAGATGACTTATCTTTCTTTTTATTTGCTAAAATGTAAAAATTACCAACAAAATGCAATAGAAAAAATAGTTTTCCCTAAAAATTTACCAAAGAAATTGAGTGTATACAAAAGAACATCAAGAAGTACCCAAACCCAAATCAAGAATTTTTAACCCTTAACCTTCAACCCACGTTTGTTATACCACACACCATTTCTCTCCCCATTCATTTGACTTTTCGCAGCAATCAAACATTGGTCAACCCTTCCACCTTTACTTTCAATCTCTTTCTGTAGCTTCTGTCTCCTCATTCGGTTTTCTGCCCGTAGTCCCCTCAAAGCCGCTGCCCGTTTCTCTCTTTCCAATGCCCGAGAAAAATCCCAAATCCTAACTGAACCCTCCTCCCCACCACACACAATCCGGTCAGCCCCAATGCTGACCGAAAACACACTCTTCCCCAACCCATTCAACATTCTTTGTGGCGGCTCAACACTCAAAGCTTTCCGACTTCTATTCGGTTTCATCGCCCGGATTCCCTTCAAAAGCTTCCGAACATCAATCAATGAAAGCTTCCCATCTCCGGAACCGGAAACCAGCCACGGGAATTCAAACGAGAGGGAATGAACCGGGGCGGAATGCGGATTCCATGTCGCAATCGGTCGCCATGACTTAACACGATCGGTTATAACCTCGAACATGTGAATCGCGCCGTCTTCGCCTCCGGTGAACACGAAACTGCCCGTGTGACTTCGGGCAAGGGAATACGCGTTTCCGACGTGCGTGTCTTTGAATACATCGATAAGCGAACCGGAATTCGTTTCCCAAATGTATGAATCGGACCCCGCTGTGCTTACAACTGTCGTGTCATGTGGGACCAATGCCCATACCCAATCGTTATGCATTAAAACTGTTAAACATTTTAGCGATACACGATCGTAAATCCGTATTGTCATGTCCCAAGAACCGCTGTAAATTCTCATAAGATCCAATGAAAGGCAAGTTATCGGACCTTGATGTTCCCAAAGTCGGAATTCATGATTCCGATTCCGATTCTGATTCCGATTCCGATCCTGATCTTGAGAACCGTTTATGTCGAAAAGACGGGGGTGTCCTTCTTCGGCTCGCCAACCGTGGATAAAACCGTCGGAACCGCCGGCAACCAAGAGCTTGGAATCAGCGGAAAGGGCACGGATGGTGCATCCGAGAGGGCGGGAGGCGGAAATGCAGATTCCATCTTCCATATCCCACATTCGAACAACGGAATCATAACCCGAAGTGAAGATGAGCTTTCTAGAAGGTAAAAGAAAAACGGTTCTTACAGTTTCAGTATGTCCGTAAAGAATCTCGACATTGTAATGTCCCATAAATGTTTTGCTATGGAATTCACGTTCCACGAAAAGCTCTTTCCATGACTTCTCGCCGGAAAACTCGGCCACCGGGCGGCTTGTGGCGGTGCCGCCGGCGGCCGGAAGCCCCCACCTCTCGCAGTAAAACTGCTTCCAGACGTGGTGGTCGGATGCAATCTGGTATAAAGATGGATTGACACAGGAGACAACACCGAGTTCTTTTGGGTCGAGGCAGTTGAAGATTTCAGAGATTAATGCAGGTGGAAGGTCGGTGATTGTTCTATGAACAGGTGATTTAGTGGTTATGACACGATTGTAGTTTGGTTTTCTAGAATCGGTGATTTGGGTTTCTGAATCAACGAGCAAAATCTTTTCAGATGAAAGAATATGATTTGAATCAACTTCTGTAGTAGTATCTTCTGAATAAATCTCTGTGCTTAATTTGGATTCAAATGCCATAAAATATCCCCCCTAATGCTACACAAATCAACAAATTAATCGTCAGTTAGAACAATTCTGATTCAATCAAAACACCATGTAAAATAATGACACACTCGGAATTCCAATTCAGGGAAAAGATAATTATGTCAAATTTTATATCAAGTTAGTGTGGCAATGTTGACGATTATCATTCAAATTACAAGATCCAATCTAAAAAATTGTGGGTGCAGCAGTTTTTTCTTCGAACCTATTAAGAACCCTAATACCCAAACTTATATATTTACGATTAAGAACCAAATACAACAAGAAGGTTAGATTACCAAATGCATCGATATGATTCGTATTGCTATATAGCAATAATAATCAAACAGCAAATAATAAACAAAAACAAAGTCATATAAAGGGATTTAATTTGAATTGAGTATCGATAAATTAAGAGAAAAATTCGACAGTTACCTGAGAAAAAAAACTAGGGTTATGACGGAAGAAGAATGAGGAAGAAGGAAACGAAAGGGGGGATGGGAATCTAACGCGATAGCGAACAGATTTGGAATGAGGTTTGAATTAAAGAGAGAAAAGTGTGGAGGTAATAAGTTCCAAGCGTAAAGGAGGGTCGGTAAATAGATTTAGAATAGCATGTTCCACAATCATGGTGAAAAGACCAAAGAGCCCTTGGAAATTGGAAACTTTTTTTATTTATTTAAAGTGAAAATGAAGTAACTAACTATTATGTTTGTTTTCATTTGTTTTTTTATTTTTTATTTTTTTTACTTAATTTACTATCGAACTTGTTGTTTATATTCATTATAATCATTTTGATCGGTTTTTGATCTGTGATTATCTGTGGTATATTGAGTATGAAAAAAAATAAAAAATGAAGGGATCAAATGAGAACAAACTCAACAGTTGGTTACCCTCCTAAGTCACTTTCCCCGAAAAGTTAAATGAAATTAAAGTTACAAAATTATCAAAGATTGCAACCTTTTTTGACCATAACATATATAAAGAACGTTTCGGATGGACAACTTCGTTAAAACGTGGTCTATGCTATGCTTACTGTGGCTAGCTGTCAACACCTCTCTGTAAAAGGTTATGACTATGTATGAGAGGTATATTTATCATCATAAAATGTTTATCTCAAGGTATATTATGTTGATGTGTCTGTAAAAGTTGCATGATGTTGTACATATTGATATTGTATCTTATTCCATGAATTCGATCTTAAAGCTAAGTAAACTAAAAAATCACAACACTTGTGATTCCACTCGTTTGTAGACATGTCTAGAATCCATAATACGATAAATCATTTGATTGGAAATGTAGATATAGTCATGAAATGCATCTGCTTAATCAAGATTCCCCTAATAATTATTCAAGTGCATTACAAAGTTGTACATGTATGAATAATGTTTTTTCATGGGTTATGTTTTGAAAAAAAGCAAGAATGAATCTCATAAAGTCATTAATATCAGTAGAAGACGACGTGAGATTTGCTGTAAATGAGTAAAAGGAAAATAAATAAGGAGGGTAATTAACTGTTGCATTTATTCTCATTTGGTCACTTTTTGTTGTACTCAATATACCATCGAACTTGTTGTTTGTGTTCACCATAACCCTTTGACCGGCTATCACATGTCAAAAGGATTATGGTAAACACAAACAACAAGATCGATAGTATATTGAGTACCAAAAAAAAAAAAAAAAAAAAAAAAAAAAAAAAAACAAGCGCAACAGTAGTTACCCTTAAAAGTCATTTTCCCTTATTTTTAAGAGATGTGAGAAATGAAAATGTATATTTTTTTTCTTTTGGTTTGTTATGGTATTAAAATTTTAATTTATTTTTGTTTTACTATATTTTTATGGAGAAATTTTGCAAGTATAAAATGCATAGTATGTGAATCATTTTATGAGAATATCTCATTGTTTCAAATATAAATAATTAAAATACAATGTTATGATAGAAATAATTATAAAAGGAAATTCAGTTAGTAATGAGGTGAAAATAGAAATATACTTTATAGAGGTCAATGAGAATTATAAATAACGAAAGATAAAAATAGCAATTTACTTTTTTATTTTGCTTATTGCGTGTATTTCGTATTCCAAATAATGGATAATGAAGTCATACCTTAGTACCAAACATACACAATAACTCGCTTTAAAAATTCTCAAGCAACTCCAAATGGTAATGTTTCTATAAGCTATTGTATAACATATTCAACTAATTTGTCAATATCTTTTCAAATAGCTTCTAACTAAACCTTTTTTCAATCATAATCCTCTACAAGCTCTCTTAACATATCAACCAATAGCCTTTTTTTACAACTTCTACATTAGCTTCATATGATTCCATTAGGTCCCTTAGAACCATATATGATGCATGACCACCATTCCCCTTCTTTATGAACTTATTAGTAACACCTTTAAAATGAAGTCTAAAAATATTTGCTAGAATTATCTTGTCTTATAGAGGTTTGTAGTTCTTCATTTGTTTCTTCGACTAATTCATAAAATAAAGCTTCAAATGATTTACAATTAACTAGTAGCATAATTAACACAAAAAATTTATATCATTTTAAAATTTTCTTTGCAATGTCATCATATTTCAAAACATTGGATCTTTTTTGTGAGAGTCCTCCATGAAAGACCCATCTACTATAATAAATAAAGGTTTTCTGCCACATGTCCTCTTCTCATTAATTTGGATACATGGCATTTTCTAAAATTTTTAAATTTTTTATTTTCCACTTGTCATTTTATTTTATTTTTCATTTTATTATATTAAAATTTCACATTTAATATATAAAGTAATATATATGTAAGAGATTTATTAGAAATGGTTTATATATGTAATGTATTCAATACATTAAAGCCTCATTGATTTGAATAATTTAAAAATTTTCTTATTTTTCTTATAAATTCAAAATTTTCAAATTGTTAAAATTTCATATTTAATTTTTTTAAATAAACCCATGTAATACATGGATCTCACACCTAGTACATAATAGTTGTCTACAAATCAATATCTTTTTAAATGATTGAATACTTCATCTCTACAATACCAATAACGGTTTTTACACTGTTTGCAATGACAAAATTTTACATCCCCTTGTAGCTTTACAAAATGAAACAAATTCATGTTTTATTAAAAAGAAATCATCTTTCTATATCACATATCTTGAACTTAACGAAACACATTACAAAAATCAACAACCAAAAATAATAGATATTCATTCTTTGCTCAACTTGCCATAACTTGATCATTTAAAAAAATATCTAATTTTTGGCACGGATTGTTCTTAAAATTTGAAGTTAATTTTGAAACATAATGAGGTTTTATAAAGTGTTTAAAAACTACGTTTATATATATATATATATATATATTATATATATATATATATATATATATATATATATATATATATATATATATATATTATATATATATATATATATATATATATATATATATATATATATATATAAGTTGTTTGTAGATGAACACATAAAATAAAAAGATTTTTAAAAAAAAAACAATGAAGGGTATTTTTGTGTTTATTCATAATTTAGTTTCCAAATGTTTAGAAATATTTCTATATTGAATTAACAAAGAATATCATTATGTTTCCTGCCAACCAAATGCATGAGGGATATCAGTTCCATTTCACTTAGATTCCCAAATTTTCGACAAATTCCATTCATATAAAAGACCATGTATGAAGCAAACGCCCCTTAGTGTGAAGAGGGAGAAACAAATGTAATAATCGGATGGAAACTAAAATTTAGTAACATGTGAAGCAAAGTATATTCTTGAAGTACTTCTGTGTCAAGCTTCATGATATAAATGATACAACCAAGTCCTACTGGCGTTGTGCATCCTAGTGAAATATCCAACTGAGGCTTTCCAGCTCTATTTTTCGAATCCACAATTTCACGAAAGTGCCTCTTCATCAATAAATTGTAAACAATATAATTTGAGTTCTTTTTTGATCATCATGAAAACAATAAATAAGGTTGTTACATAATGCAAATCACATGCCTCAAGTTGACATCAACTAACATAAGCCGATGAACTAATTACCAAATGTTCACGAATTAAATGAACAAACAAGGCATGTGTATTAAGTGAAGATCGGAGGTTCTAAACCTACATGGTACTAATGTATTATTTTTTCAACTATATTTCTTTATTTGTTGTTGTAAAGTGCATTGATTTATATATAAATTTACAAAAAAAATGGAGTTGCATACTATTATAAATTTACAAATGGAGTAGTAAATATTTATGAAAACCAAACATAATTGAATGATTAAAAATACTATAAACAAAAGTATGCAAATTATAAATTCTAAAAACCACCAATCAATCCATACATCACCAATAATCTCCACATGAACACGACCCATCTATAAAAGAATGAAATCGGTTATTATCACGTAAAATTATCTCCCTACCCGTAATTTTTGAAAACAACTTAATCGCCACATGGCAATCACCACAAACACGCATATTTTTCACTACGCGAATCACTTCACCTGGTTTTGTACTAATCAAACCAAACGCAATCGCCAATTTCTCACTATGACACCCCAAAAAATGCTCTTTTTCCTCATCTTCAACATCAAACAACACAAATTCTGTCCTTTCAACATACCCCATTTGCTTCACTTCTCTATTCAACTCACTAAGTTTACCATAAATTCTTTCCGAAATCGGATGAGAAGTATCCCCAACACGAAACTCATGAACTACACCATCTACTTCTATCCAACAACATCCGGGAATCTTCCAAATCCCTTTTTCTCTCATTTGTGATCTTATATTCAAAGATTCTTCCCATTTGTGATTAGCCGAAAAGATATTGGACAAAAGCACATAGTTTCCTGAATTCAAAGGCTCTAATTCAATCAACTTTTTCAAAACATGTTCGGCTAATTCGGTATCTTTATGTAACCTACATCCACTCAATAAAGCTCCCCAAACAATCGCGTTAGGCTCCATTGGCATACTTTTGATCAAATCATAAGCTTCGTTTAGTAAACCGGATCTTCCAAGAAGATCAACCATGCATCCATAATGTTCAATTTCATGATCTAAAGAAAAGAAAGATTTCATATCATAAAAGAATCGTCTCCCATCATCAACAAGACCCGCGTGTGTACACCCACACAGTATACCAATGAAGGTTTTTCCATCTGGGTGGAACCCTAATTTGTACATTTGACCAAAAAGACTCGATATAACCTTGGGTTGACCACTCATTCCAAGACCCGATATTGCAGCATTCCATACAATAACATCTTTTTCTTTCATTTCTTTGAAGACTTTCAAAGCACTATTCATTTTACCACATTTTGCATACATGTCAATTAGGGCTGTGCCTACAATGGGGTTGTGTAAAAACATGTTGTTATCGATTAACCCACGTGCCCATTCGCCTAATTCAAGAGCTCCTAAGCTTGAACAAGCGGAAAGAACTCCAACTATTGTGTAGCAATCGGGTTTTAGGTTATTGTTTTTCATTTTGTAAAAGATGTCTAGGGCTTCTTTTGGTTTGCCATTTGAAGCATAGCCTTGGATCATTGCACCCCAAGTGACTGCATCTTTTTCAAGCATTTGGTCAAATGTAGCATGAGCTTTCTCCATGCTTCCACATTTTGCATAAGTGTCCACTAATGCAGTACCCAAGAAGATGTTCTTGGTTATTTTAAGTGTGGTTATGCATTCATCTAACCATTCTATGTTTTTCAAATCGCCTAATTGTGAACAAGCTGACAAAATCTTGACTAGGGTAAAACTATCAGGTCTCAAATTCATGGATAATAATCTTTTGAATACATCTAGGGCTTCTGTGAACCTTCTTTCCTCGATATACCCACTAATAATCGCAGTCCATGAAACGGGATTTTTCTCAGGCATTTCATCGAACACCTTGCATGCATCATCCAACCGCCCACACTTTGCATAGAAACAAACCAAACCGGTTTTAACAAAGGCATCATAATCGTAACCAGCTTTCACCATGATCGTGTGCAGCTCCACACCCAATCTCAAATCCAAAACCCTGGTGCATGCTTTCAAGACTAAAGGGAAAGTGAAGTAATGGGGTAAGAAACCATTTTGACGCATGGAGTAAAAGCATTTGATGGATTCTTTGAAGTGATCACGGGAAACAAGGCCATGGATGAGGGTGTTCCAGACGTAATCGTTGGGTTCTTGGATTTGGTTGAAAAGGAGTCGAGAATAATTTGTGTCGTCGTTGAGATTGAAACTGGACTTTAGGAGGGTGTTGAGGAGGTAATTGTCATGGAGGAGATCTAATCGTAGGATGCGAGCATGGACGTGTTTGACCTGATTGAAGGAGGTGATAGCTTGAATAAGACGTGCCTTGATATCGATGGAAACGTTCATAACTATGGCTTTTCCCGCCACCCCACCACCATGGAAAAACTAACTTTGTATGCTTTCGTTCAGTTTGAACTTTGAAGAGAAGATGCTTAGTGTTGCTCTTTTACTAATTTATGTAAAGAAATAGAATTTTATTATTATTATTAAAATATAATTTTTATGCAATTTTATCGATGTCATATTAATCCATACAATAAAATAGACTTCTTTTGACAACTTATGCATACATAAATTGATTGGTTTTGGAATACTTTGCATAAATTAGTGATAAAAACATCACGACATATTTTAATAAAATTCACATGTTTTAAAATCTCTTTTCTGGGACGTTTGAGATTATTCATTCAAAACAATTTTGTTTAAAAGTATTTGTTAGCTTATATGGCATTAAAATGAAATTAAAAAATAAAAAATGTTTGTATACTATCAAAATACAATAAATTGGTATTTTTTTACAGATTAGCATGAGTAAAAAGGCAAATTGGTATGTGTTTTCCGTCATGAAAAAAGAAAAATGATGCTACGATGCATATGGATGGTTTTAGGGTTAAAACGGTGGTGTTTATTACTTCCTATGCAAATTTCTATAAACTTGATTAATGTTAAGTTGTTAACAAACTATTCATATATATATATATATATATATATATATATATATATATATATATATATATATATATATATATATATATATATATATATATATATATATATATATAAGTACTCAAATGAAACAAAATGGTAATGAGACAAACTACTATTTTGCTTGTAACAAAGTGAAAGGAACTCTTTAAATTTTTTGTATATGCAAAAGACATAAATGCCCTCATCCAAAGAGACAAATAATAAAGTAATTAAAACTCATAACGCTAAAAATTGTATTCTCGTATAAAATTTGCCATTAAATCCACAACTATTCAACATATTATCATATTGTCCAAAATGTCCATATACACCTAATAAAATCTACAACCTCAAACATTTCATCAATTGTACATGTACATGTATATTTGAATATGATTGAGTGTGGCATGGCATCTCTCGAAAGGACAAAACAGTAAAATCAAATGTCCCAATTACCACAAACTCCTATTTATTGTGGTAAAAAAATGACGGTATTACTATTAACTACAATTGCATTATTTCATGACTCATGAGTCACTCCAACTATCGCTGTCATCATCATCATCATCACTTCCAGCAAATGCCTATTTAAAAAATAACATCATACTTTCATTGATTTGTGTATTATAATAAGAAATAAAAATTAAAAGTAGAATGTTATTATAACATAATACCTGGCGAATTGCATTTGCTTTTTCTAAAATTGCAGCTATTCTCACATTGGTGGTGGGGCCTTGAATGTTTGGCCTAGTTTGAGCCGGCGGTTTCAAGTTGTAGGACTAATATAATTAAAGAAAAATTAATATTAAATTAACTGTCTAATGTGAAAAGACGTAAATGCCCTCGACAAGTGTTTGTAATTGTGATTACCTTTGTCCGTATCTGTTCCAATAGTTTGTCATTTTCCTGTCCCTTTGTTATCTGACTCATCGCTAGAACCTTCCTCAACTGTACATAGGAACCAACATAAAATAAATAAAATAAAATATGTGTTTAATTATAACTAAATTAAAAAGGGCTTTACTTTGCTTTTGTCATGAGTAGCAACTGCATCAATGAGAGGATTACGGGGTCGTTGAATTTTCATAGGCCGAATATTATTTGGAATTTCATCTACTGCTTCTTTTGGCGCCAAAGTTTCTGAAAATTTCACTTCTGTTGATGCTGATTTTTTGTCATGATCTTGTGCGTGTAAACTACCCTCATTTTCAAATTTCTCATTTTCGATTTCCGTGTTTTTAATCTCATTGACTTTAAGTTGACCACCATCTGTTGGAGTCAACATAGGGCTTTCAAGCTTTCTCATCCGCCATTGCATGGGTGGAAGTGGCGGCAATGGCGGCGTATCTTCTGGTTTGACCGGAGGTAATTGGTGGTTGACTTGGTCAAACTGGTCAATGTCATGAGAGGGAGAATCTGATTGTGATGAGAATTGAGAGCCTGCTGATGCAAAAAGTAATTGTGGGTCCTCTTTATCTTCCATTTCTGATGGTGGTAACTCCAACATAGGTGGTTTTTCAGTTACAGTCATAGGTTGAGAGCCTATATCATTCAAAACAACAGTTTTTTCTCCATTTTCATTGGTTTGTTCTAGAAGAGAATGAGTCGAAAGGGCATTATCGTCATTTCCATTAACATCATCTTCGTCAAGATCAGGAGGAATACTTTTCATTTCCTCCAAGTCAACAGAGTCTTCATCTCCTTTCACCTCTAATGGTGTATCATCTTCAAGAGTGGGAAGGGCGTTTTCGTCATTTCTAGCATTGTTTTCATTCGTATTGACATCAAGTGGGAGAAGAACGACAACATTCTTTTCCATTTTGGGGTCAACAGAGTCTTCTTCTGTCCCCTCTGATTTTGTATCATCTTCAAGCATCGAAAGGGCTTTATTGTCATTTCTATCAACATCATCAGGGGTAGTCTCTGAGTTAACTAATCCTGTTTCTCTCTCTTTTAATTCTGATCCAATCATAATAATAATATATTAATAATAATAATAATAATAATAATAATAATAATAATAATAATAATAATCATGATGATAATTGGGGATCATTGCAAGAAATAGCAACATACTTCTGTGATATATTTTCTTTTTATTAATAAAAAAATAATAATAATAATACCTTTTTCATCTTCAATAAAAGATGATACTTTAGCTTCATCATCTCCTATTTCATTTAACTTCTGTTCAGGTAAAGAAAATTTCTCACAACTATCTAAAGTCTCTTCAACTACAGAATCATCTTTTGTACTATGATTATGATTATCTTCGTTGATTTTGTCGGCTGTTTCCAAGATGCTGGGAGGATGAATCATAGGACTAGAGCCGTCATTAGGATGCTCATGCTCATGCTCTACCTCACCCTCAAAATTCCCGAGAAATTGAAACGACAATAGACTGCCAGCTGGCGAATGAAAGTCTGTTTGATTTTCTTCATTTTTAACATTTTCATCTTCTTCCAAAACTACCCCTTCATTCACATCATATGAAGTCCCGGAAGTCTTCTCCCCCTGTGGAGGAAACAGGATTCCGGTAGATCGCGTCAATTGAGAATCGGAAAATTGAAATTGAAGTCCAGACTCCATTGTTCCAAGGGCATCGACGTAATTATCCATCTCACTTGCCACGTCATCAGACCGATAACCATTTTGAACACCATCCGTTTTGATTTCTTCATTGACGTCCGGTGATCCTGAATTTGTAAGATCGGAAATTTTCCGGTCGATTACTTTTCCGGCGAGATTATCTGCCGGAATCCGGCAACCGGTGTTCTCAGCACTCGAAGATACAGATGGACTTCTACTTGGTGTTGCCAAATTAAAAGGTGAGCCAATTGTATCCTTGAATATTTGATTAGGGGAATCGAAAGGCACTGGGATGATTGATGGATGAAAAGGTAGTGGATGGACGATTTTACCCTTGGATGATGGAGATTTTAACAATTTGTTCATGTAACTTTCTGAATCGAATGGAGATTTGTTTGGTCTTTTTTTTAGTTTCACACGATGTGTATATTCGGTTGTGCTATTTTGCATGCGATCCTCCATGAACAATTGATGTAGTCTGCAGTATTGAAAGTAATAATAAATTAATAATAATAATTTTTAAGTAGTAAAATTGGATAAATGGATAGGGTGAAAAATGAATATCATATTAAAATATTAAAATATTAAAATATGTTTCTTACTTGGCCTTGGAATTTGGTGAAATCTCTGGAGTTCCTCCCACTTTACATTGTGATCCTTTCTTCTGTTCAGATTTAACAAAGTTTAAAATAACTGATGAACTTTTTATTCAATGTAATTATAATTTAAAGGTAATAAAAGGTCATTAAAACCCAAATAATATTAAACTCACCTTGTTTTTGCGAATCTTTTTATCCCTTTGAATTTCAGCATTTTCAATTTCATTCGATGATACTTCCACTTTATAAAATGAGGGATCAGTGTAACGTTTTAAGCATACTCCATCTCCACCAACATCAAATCTATTGAAAGCCACATAAGTTTGTAAATTTGAAAAATGGGCTAAATGCAAGAAAAAGCAATTTACTTTTCTCTATTTATTCTTTCTAAAACAAACAAATAAAGTAAAGTAAATTGCAATTTCTTGCAATTAACCATTGATAGCTTTTAGGAGGCATGTGAAATTATACAAGGGGAGATGAGGGCTTACTTGTCTAGAAGAAATAATCGGGGTGGCCCACGACATTCTTCATAAGAATTCATGACAAATCGAGGTAAATCTCCAGTTGTGATAAGATTGGGAGTTGTTTTCAGATTAGGATGCCAATCAACACCTGTATAGCATTAAAAGAGATCCTCAATGGAATTAGTCATGTGAAGTATAGCCTTTTTTATCATTTGTGTTGAACTAAAAGATTGAGCAAAATCCTAAAAGATCATATTGGAAGCAGAATAAGAAGAAGAAGAAGAATATGTGATGTGGCACCTGAATTGGTGAAAAATGCTGAATGGCATGTTTGGGACATAAATGACCTTTGAATTGAAGGGATTTCCAACTCAAGCTGCTGAGCACGTACAAGTAGACCATTGCCTCTTGCAGCAGTTGCTGTCACTTCTTCATGCAACTCTTGGAAAATCTCAGCAGCAAATCTTCATATTGGATGCAAGCTTTAGTTAGACTTGTAGCAAAATATCAAATTACATTACATCAAAAGATATAATTCTATTTTAAAAGCTTTCAAGTATCATCAGGGTTGCAGTTATTTATGGAATACCTACATAGTCATGTCCTAGGGGGTGTAATTGATTGTTGACTCGACATTTAGTTAGGATTTCCATTGTACATGCTTTTAAAATGTGAAGTTATGAAACAAGAAATACTTATTATCATTCATGGTGAAGTTGCTACC